GATAAATAAGGAAGATAACATGGTGTTTAATGTAATAAAATCACGTGGATTTACCTCGTATTAGTAACTTCACATCTCATCTTGAATATGTAGAGTTGATGGTTCATAATGAGATAATTCTTCACATTCTTTGTGAGATATTCGTTAACCAACATTCTTCATAATTTTATTGTAGAACTCTCCATCATCACCCAATATTTGATCTCATGAGATAACTAATTTTGGATCAAACTACAAACACTCTGATTCATCTTCAGCTAATCTCTTTTTTATATCTCTTCAGGATGTTTTTCATCATAAAAAAATTTTGCAAGATTCAAAAACACAACACATCCACACATTGCATCACCACATGCCAAATTTCTCTTTGGCATCAAATCTTATCATATCAATTTTGATTGAATACTTAACCACTTGATGAATCTATTCATGACTCCACCAAATACCATACCCTAACTTTGATCTCTTTGCCTTATATCCACGACTTCGCCTGAATCACAACAGCTTATTGCTGGAATCTCACAAACCCAGCTTTGATACCAAATTATAGTACAAAAAATCTATAAAACAAATTCACATAAGAAACAAACAATCAAATATGGTGTGATCTACGTGGTTCGGTGAAAATTCACTTATGTCTATGGGGGAGAGAGAAAAAGTGACTGTAATTAATATTAAAACTCCACACACAAAAATAAGTTGTAACCCTTCTATAAATCAAAGAGGATTAGGGCATAACATGTTAAGAGAAATATTTCTAATATATAAGAGATCTTGTAATTAGATCTCTTGTAATTAAGCTACCTAATATCAATCTTCCTAATATAGAAAAAATCATGTAATTAGGTCTCTTCTAATTAAGTTACCTAACATCAACCTTGATGATATACATACTTGCTAATATAGAAATATTAGGTTCAATACTTTCTATAACACGGTTTTCTATGAGAACCTCTAATGCAAATTGAATGTGGCGTGCAATATAGTAAAAATAATAAATAGATTTATTTTTAGGAAGATTTATATACACTCAATTCTTATGTATTTACATATCTAGCACCTAAATTTTAATGTTTAGATATATGGCATGTTCGAAATCGGCTCGTGAACAGTGTGTTCGTGGTTTAGATATATGGCGTGTTCGAAATCGGCTCGTGAACAGTGTGTTCGTGTTCGGCTCATTAAAATTAAATTGAAAAAATAAATGTAAAGTGTGGTATTCGAACCTCGAACAAATGTATGCAAAAAAAAAAAAAAAAGACAAACCACATTACCACACAAAGTGTTACTATTTAAACTTAGATATAAATATATATAATATAAATAAATACAAATAATATATGTAATATATTCTTATATAATAATTTTTTTTATTACGAGCTAAAACGAGCCGAATACGAGCAAACAAAGAGTTGTTCGTGTTCGGCTCGTTTTCAATTCTACAATTCTAGCTTTAAAAGCTTGTTTGTGTTCGACTCGTTTACTTAACGAACGAGCCGAACATGAGCTATTTAACGAGCCAAACATGAGCTACTTAACGAGCTGAAAACGAGCTGTTCGCAAACAACGAGCTTTTTTGACAGCCCTAGGTACAATTATTTTGCTAGGCAGATTGGTTGTCTTTATATAAAAGAAGATTTACATACATACCACTTAATTCTTATGTATTTACAAATTTTTTATTTAAATTTCATTTTTACATATAAATCACCATATAAAAATATGTATTTTATTTTTTAAAAATTAAAATAGTGTTATGTTATGATATGAGACATACACATAACCTTGTCTTTATATGAAAATATGTATTTCACTTTTAATGATGTCTTTCCATGTGATATAAAAGATTGATTTGAGTGGTAAAAATGTGAAAAATGAAGTTTAGATATTAGATATAAAAATACATAAGAATTGGGTGCTATATATGCAAATGCCCCTTAATAAATTCAAAAATTATTCACCTAAATTATTATTTATATAAATCAGCAAATCAAGGGTCATAGGAATGTGGGGAAAGCTCACCTCTTCTCCAAAGGTCAGAGTCCATTTCAGGTTGTCGTTGTCTCACCAACATTGGAGTTCCTCTTAGTTGTTGTTGTCTCACCTTCTGGGCTATTGTCGCCTAATGACGTTGGAGTTCCTTTTAAGCTATTGTTGCTTCATCTTCTAACCTTCTGGGCTGTTGTTGCCTCACATATGGGATGTTGTTGCCTAAATATGCTGGAGTTCCATTTAGGTTGTTATTGTCTCACCTTATGGGTTGGTGTTGCCCAACGACATTAGAGTTCTGTTTAAATTGTTGTTGCCCCACCTTCTTGTTGTTGTTCCTCAAGGACGTTGGAGTTTCTTTAAGGTGGTTGTTGCATCACCTTCTGGGTTGATGTTTCTCAACAAAATTGGAGTTTATTTTATGTAATTATTGGCTCACGTTCTACGATATTGTTGCCCAATATTTTGGGTTGTTATTATCTCATCATTTGGATTATGTTGACTCACCTCGTGGGTTAGTGTTGCTCTATCATGTGTGTTGGTGTTGCCTGATCTTCTGGTCTGACGTTGCCCCATCTTTTGAGTTCTTGTTGCTTGATGTAAGAATGTTGATTCTTTACAACTTGCCTTTCAGAGATAACAAAAATTATATAAGTATTGACAGGAATTTAATATATTCTAGTTGAGGTATTTCGCCCCAATAGGAATATAGTCACATAGAACTCT